ACTCGACCCAGCAAGACGCCACAAGTTTTGCAAATGTGTGTGTGTGTGTGTGTGTGTGTGTGTGTGTGTGTGTGCGCGCGCGCGTGTGCTTGTGTTTGCATGCTCCACTACATTGTTGAACGCATCCTCCTGTTGAAAGCAGCGGATATGTTCAGACAGAGGGCGTGTTGATGAGTCACACATACTCTTGAGTGATTGACACCACTCAAACTACAAAACTCAAAAGTGGGCAAGGCACTAATTCCAACTAATTAAGCCAATTCTAAGAGGTTTGACACAGGAAGTGGTCTCAAGCCCTGCCCCGAATAGCGACTAGATGGCCCCAAAGCACTACTTTTCTATTAGACTGGGTTTGGGGCAAATCACTGACGAACCAACCAATCGACCGAAAAAACTAACAAAGTTGATACCAACTGCCACACAGCAAGCTTTCCTTCACCATAGCTCCCCCTGCTGGATCCAGTGCATCACTTCCCCACACGCCAAACATAAATACAGCATCTTCATGGACCACAATGCTCCATCTCATCGAGAGCGCATCATCAGAGAACAGCTATTGCAGAGTGGTGCACCTCAAATGGAATGGCCTAAACTTTCTACAGACCTGAATCCGACTGAAATCTGTAGGATCAGCTGAGTCGCCATGTAGAGGCTTGAACCTCTGCAACCCACAACCTCAATGTGTGAAAATAAACAGACTGTCACTACACTTTGTGTGTGTTGACGATGGATATGCACATCGTAAACTAATATTACAGCCTTTGAGAGTTTATATCTGTAGATAGACGGTTAGTCGGTTGTAGTTCAGGTGGTATCTTGCGTAGTCAGTCTAGTCTACAGTTAGTTTGGTGAACAGGTTGGTAGATACTGTTGTTGCTCGAGGGGTAAGTCAGTAAGTTGGTAGGTTGAAAAGATAGGAAGAGTAATGAGTTTTCTTGGCAGCTGCCCATCAAGAAATTAAGAGAAAGACTGCTAGTTTTTTAGAATTGCTAGAATGGCAAGAAATCCTTGTGCTTTTGTCCTGAAGCACTCATTCATTCACTCCCCTTTCCAGAGGAAAAAAGGAGGAGAAATGACTATGGGGCTTTTTTTTCAGTCAAAAGCTTCTTTCACACTGAGATCCAGAAAGAAATACACCAGCAGAGCCGCAATATTAGCAGTTAAGCGTTTGCCTTTCACGCAGAACACAACAAAAAATATTTTCCCAATGAGAATTGGCTTCCATATTCCACACACACAAGCATATATTCATACATACATACATAAAATAAGATACACAGGCACGCACGCATACACAAGCTGTTTCAGGTAAGATGAAAAACAAACTTCCAAAAACACAAAAAGAGTAAAACAGCATCACCCAGTGGACAAATATGGAAATGCAATTTGATGAATGAAAAAGCCTATTCATAATTTTTACTTTACAAGGCCTTGTACGACTCTCTCTCTCTCTCTCTCTCTCTCTCACACACACACGCACACACACACTTTTATTTAGTGTACAGTAATGTGTTGTTTTGTGCTCATATGAGGAGTCCAATCAAGAGAGAAGTAGTGCTTTGCCGCCATCTTGTGGCTTAAGTAGGCACGTCGAAACTATTTTGGGGGGGCTTCATTGAATGCGATTGGGTCCTGTATTGCAATGGAAAACAATTAGCGCCAACCTATTTGCGGTTCGGCACCCGCAGATTCGCATAGTCACGGTTTTTTTTTTCTCAATTTCTTTTCAATATTTATAAATAGTTTTGCTTTTGTGGAAATTGTATATCGAATGTTTATCAGCGTTTTTAAAATACGTTTTTGGAGTTTAGATACTGTATTTACGGTGCAAATTCATGGGTGTCAATTACACGCATATTTTCGTAATTTGTGCACCAGACCAACCACCTAAATCTCGATAATTTGAATATAATGCTGCGTGAATGTGAATCCTGAGTCAGGGGTGACGGCAATGGAGGGAGACAGGAGACAGATGGAAACGTGAGGAGGTGGTTTAGGTGGACGGATTAAAGAGTCACTTCTCTGGACTGAAGCCAGACCTGACGTGACAAGATGTTTGGCTTCAAGTGTGCCACTGGAACAAATCACTGTATTGTTTCGACCATATTTTCTTCAAGATAAATGATGTAATCTAACAAGAATAAAGTCTAATTTTCTCGAGGAAAAAAATGCACAATATGATAGGGAGGAAGATGTATTTTGAAAAATATGTATAGATTACAGGATATTACAATAACAATATCTGCAAGAAAAAGTCGCAAAAAAGTCCAAATTTTCAGCAGAAACTTATTTTTTTTCACGATCTTAAACCAAACAATGCAAAGTGCCACGAACGGGCTAACGAATAGCATCAATAGTCGTGGTATGCAACCCATTATATATTATTTTGTATGCTGTATGTCTGTATTATACTGACCACTGGTGGTCAAATCTGGCTGGTAGGAGCTCTACAATTAAGCATACAATCATAATATTCATATTTCTTTTAAAATCTCATTGTGATCATGGCTCTTTTAAAAGCAAAAGAAGACGTAAAGTCGGTCAATGGTGTTGCATTGTAGAAGTACCTATGAGAGACAGGAGGACAACGTTGCAGGTCAACATGTTAATCTGGTTAATCCCATAAAGAGCATCTGTCTATCAGGCCCCTCCAGTCAAGAGGTATTACATTTTAGCCACTCTAAATCTACCATTACGCTTTAGCCAGCATCAGGTCAGGATCGGACCCTCGGTGTCGCTGCACAAGTGGCACTTTTGGCGCAGAAGGACCATCGAGATGGCGATGAGGTGGCGCTCCAGCTCTCTGGATGAGGACCAATGCTTGGAGTTCGGACACCAGGTGAGAACTCAAATGAGAAACAAGTCCGATTTTGAGGAAAAGTAACATTTACAAGAAAAAGTATTGCTTTTCAAGACAATGATCTTTCTGCCTAAAAAAAAAAGTTCTAATTAAAAAATAAGGTTTATTTCTCGAAATAAAATATTATTTTCCCCTTTGCGCAGAATGACGATGTGGCCCCTTTGCATCGCAGCGGTGGGAGAGGTCGGCGAGTCCGCAGCTCGCTCTCCATGCACATCTACGGCCTGCAAAGGCAGCATGACCACGTTGACTACTACCAAGGGATGGAAGAGCTGAAGACAGCTCACCTGAACAATGTGGCCCAGTTGGAGAGGATGTACATCCATCACTGGGAGCAAGACGAGGACGGACATAACAGCTCAGTCAGGTTAGGAGTCATACATACTGTACATATATAAAACACACAGGCTTATATTCTTTATCCTCTGCAAAAAAAAAAAAAAAAAAAAAACCCAGCCAATATTATTGCACCTGAGTTACTGAGAATTTGTGACTTCATTTTTCTGTAGGACGGTATTACACTGCCTCCTAGCGGCTAAAGTTGTCACAACAGAAGGAACAGCATGATGAATGAAGCATTAACACAAACTTATTACAGTGTATATACATTCAGTTTTGTTGGTTTGATTCAAATCAGTCAGACAAAAGCTCGAGTTGCAGCTCATCTTTGAGGGGACCCCTGTCTTTGGCAAAAATAACCACAAAATGTCCTCTTGAAACCAAACTGGTTGACTTCCTGTGTCTTTTTGTGCAGAGCTTCTTGAGACTTTTTTATGGGTCTACTCATGACAGACATGTCCACCAAATTCCACATTGCTTGAGGAAACTGGCTTCAGAGTCTGAATTTTTAAAATATGCCAGTCGATATTGACTTTCAGGGATACCTGGAAATGACCAAAATAAGTCCGACATGTCTGCTCATGGGCTTCATGCAGGAAACTCCAGAAAATCAATTCCCAGGAGGAGTTGGACCTCAATGAGACATCGAGCGGCTCCGACCAATCCGAGCTGTCGGTGGAGGACAACGTGAGGGGAATGACGCCCAAGAATCTCAGGTCGGTGAAACCACAAAAATAGGATTCATTTTACAAATTAAAAATAGGCATCTTCCAAATAGGTTTTCCAAAAACTAAGACATTTTTTCCATAGAAAATTTGAGATTTTATAAGAAAACCTTATTTTTCAAGATTAAAAAAGTTTTTTTTTAGAGGTAGAAATTTTCATCAAAAAATAGTTTTTAGAAGAGCGAGGAAAATGTGTTTTTTAGGGGGCAAAGTACAGACCTTCGGAACACAAAACTATTTTTTCCCCCCTAAGGATAATCAATGTATTACTCGAAATTGATAAAAAAAAAATAAGGCAAAGTCTCTCATTGAGAACAATTATTTCAAAGTAAAAACACAAGGAAATATGTTTTTTTTCCACAGAAAAAAGCATTTAACGCTAAATTTTGTGCGACCTCTGGACGAAAGGGGCTCACGTGAATTAATTTAAAAGGCCCACTACTTGGAAATTTGGATTATGACGGTGATTATGACTCTCCTTCTCTTACCACCACCACCAGTGAGCGTGTCCTCAGCCCAGACGACATGTTGATGATCCAGAAGGACTTCAGGTTCCAGCCCAAGTCATCGGTTTCCAAACAGCAGGCAAGGGTGCCGCCCCAAAGGGCCTTCAAGGCACGGCCCAGCGACTCCAGAATCACAGTGCCCAAACCATTCCAGATGATGCTGAGAGAAGCGCGAAAAGCGCGCACGCGCTCCGAGGTGGAACTTGAGAACACACTGCTGCGACGTGAGCTGGATGAGCTCAGAGAGTGCCAGAAAAAGTTCCGGGCCTCGCCTGCGCCGTCTCACATACGCCGGCCTCTTGCCGATATCATCAGCCGGCGCTCGCCGCAACCGTCCATTCTGGGCGCCTCTGCTCTGCAGCCCTCCCACTTCCTGGAAAGAGAGAAGAAGAAGAGGGAGTCAAAGATGGCTGCGGAGCTAGCCGGCAAAGGGGACCCACAAGAGATGCGGCGGGCTATCACGGCCTGGCCCAGACCTGCAAGTCGGCAGTCATCTGCAACCCCAGGCAAGTCGCACGCCTCCAGACCTCCAAGACGTCTGTCATCCAAGCCTGTGAAGAAGCAACTGGAGGTGTCCATTGAGCTGGTCAAGGAAAGCGAATGCTCCCACTGACTGACCGTCCTGTACATCGATGTTTAATTTTGTATTTTTTGGAATGTGCAATCAATTTCCAGCGAAGAAACAATAATACTCTCCTTTGCAACAGTCCCCGTGTGTCCCAATGAGGCTCTCAACAACAGACATGAGCAAATGATTGATACAACCCTTGGTCACACAAGGTGTGCACCCTTCATTTTTCTCTCAGGAAAAGTTTGGACAGCACTCAGTCTAAAGGCAAGGTCACGTCATGAGTAACGGAATGAACTCTACAAACACAGCCGTATCTTTTTTGGAAAGTAAAAGACCCCCCCCCCCCAAAAAGAAAACAATTATTCTCGAGGAAAGCTTTATTATATATATTTTTTAAGTCATAACAATTGAGTGATTTTTTTGTCATTGTCAAAAAAATAATATCCTATTTTTAGAGCAAGAGTAAAACTGATGAGATTCAAGTCATACTTTCCCAAGGAGGTCAATTTTTTTTCAGATAGACATTTTCAGAGTAAAAAAAATACTCATCTTACTATGATAATGGTCTGTTTTTCAAAACAAAGAAACAATCTTATGAGAATAAAGTTGTAGTTAGATTCTGTGATGCCACGTTAGTGTGGTCTATTTGTTTCAGCAATCAGATTTTAGATTTACTCCTTTTCGCCCTCCCTGAAGCCCATCGTGTTCCTTCCTATTGTATTAGCAGGGCAAATTATGATCGTCTATGTAGTTCTCACTGCCGTTTGGCTGAAGCGTGCGAAATGTAATGTTTTTTTTTTTTTTTATGGTGACAAGCATCGCTGGATACGTAACAGGTTGCTGTTGACGAAAGGAATGTTAACTTGTGCTCATAAAGGGGCGTTTGGCTGCAACCTCTTTTTCATAACCGGAAAGAGCTGATCAGTGGAGAGCCAATCACAACAACAGGACCCCAAAATGGGAGGAGTCACTCTTTCGACGGATATTTTGGGTAATAAAAGAGGGTTTGACGCACGTGATGACATACCACAACACTCCAACGCCGGCAAGTGGCTTTTCGTGCTTCACGGTTGCAATAGTAATCTGGCCTTGCCATGCGGCTGTGGGTGACCTCGCGTGAGTACCCTTTTATTCCAAATCGATTGGTGATCTATGATTTGAAGTCGTTGACTGCCTTGAAAAAGTGCTTTCTCACTGAAACGGCGGCCGATCCGCGGACCACGGCGTGTTGGCCGGCCTGGCTGGGTCAGCTGGTGCTCCTTGCGGCGGCGATGTTACCGGCGTCAACTATTTCGAGTCGCTAAATTCAGTTTAAATTCATCTCTCCTTTTATTATTTATAATTTTATCTGTGGTTTTATTGTTCTTGTTGTAAAGTGTCCTTGAGTGTTTTGAAAGGCGCTTATAAATGTAATGTATTATTATTATTATTATTTACTAAGTCACCGATGGGAGTGGCTAAAGTTCGCTTGCTGTGGTGTAATCGTGTACAACATGACGACAGAGTCGCGGGGCGACTACGTCACAGTGTGCGTCCAGAGCGGGAGACGAGAGAGTGACTAGAGACAGTGTAGACGCATCGAATAAGCCAAATAAAAGCTATCCACGTTAACACGACAGCTGGACTCACGTGTGCCTCATTTGATAACACGACACTCGCCAGAGGAGGCTGGAGGGTCCCGGTAACAGACACAGAGAATGAAACTTACCTTTTAGTCTGACAGGGCGACCGTCGCGTACGATAAAAAAACGGCGTGTTCAGTGGTTTGACACATTTTTTTCAAAGCGAAAACGTGCGTGTGAGAAAGTTTCAAGGTGCTTGGAGGAAATCCATGCAAAATCCATGCTGTTTTTTATGTATCATTTTTGATCATGCATTTTTCAATGCATCGATAATAGATCCACTATCCTAACCCGACAAGAAACGTTCGAAACAAATAACAAAAATAACCATGTACTGCATGGGTTTTTTTTTTCCAGTGAAGGGGGCTCATGCATAAAAATGAACATAAAGGACAACACAAAACTGCTGAACAGCAAACCAACAAGTCCAAGAACTAATTTTGTGCATTCTTCCTTCACATAAAATTAAACTTAATCAAAATTGTTGTTGTTATTGATGTTTTGTTTGTTCTGCATGTCATTACTAATCCACATGCTTACTCACGTAGTATAGACCCAGCGTAAGAGGAACTAAGACATGAAGACACGTCTGCCATCTCGCGATGCTGATATTACAACTTCAAATTACAATAGACCCCATGTATATTTAGTTCAACACCCAGAGATTCACAGACCCCCCCCCTCCTTTTTCCCCCATTTTTTTCCCTCATGTTCTGAATTTTTCCTTTATTCGCATTTCACCTCTGTTTTTTGTGGCAACAAACATTTTTTAGGTGTGTTTAAAAAAGTAGAAAAAAATATTTTACATTCTTTTTTTTTGGGGGGTGGGGGGGGTGAGCCACTTATTTACCAGTTGCCCATCTCTGCTCTCGTATTTTAACAGCATTATGGAGCCGGATAGGGCAAGTGTGAGCATGAGTCTTTAGTCTGTGTGTGAGAGACTATGTTACAGTATTTTGTCTGTTTTTTTTTCTCTTGTCTGCTAGTTGTTCTTGTGTGCATTGGCCACTGCCTTGATCCCATCTGCAAAGTGACATCTGATTCCAAAGGATGGAACTACCAAATCATCGGGGATGAAAACACACCGTGCACCGCTTATCAATGGATCAATAAGACGGTAGGTGATGTGGTGTTATCTTGCTAGTTACTTTTTATTTCACTCTGCTAATACTGTCAAACAAGGGGGTGAGCTCCAGGTATACATGTACCATTTCAAATGAGAGTTGATGAAATGCAAACATCCTATAAGTCCGTATGCTAACAGATCACAATCTGAGTACAGAAAGGCAGCCAAGGAACCTCAGTAAGGATGTTACATCTTTCCATCTCAGTTGGGTGCCATTTATGATAAATACTCAAAGGCTAACATGCTAGCAGGTCCCAGGATCACACATAGCTAGGTAGCAACCTTCGTAGACAAAGTGTTTTGGAAGCTTGATAAGATTTTTACATGACATCATGCTCTATAGTTCATTACTATTTCTAATGAGAATCAATAAAATTTGAAAATAGAGAAATCAGAGTCGAGAAAGCTCTGAGGCAGATGAATAATAATGTATCACACTCTGTAGTCAGCTCCTACTTCGAGTGAGAGTTGGTGAAATGCTTACATACTAACAGTTGGTAGGCTAGTATATATAGCCAGCCATCCAAGTAGAGAAAGCGCTCAGGCAGCTTACAAACGATTGTGCGTCTCTGCTTTTTAGAATTTCGTGCTGGTGAATAACATAGAAAAGCCCAAAAATGACAATGTAGTCCAGGGATGGAACGACACCTATCTTAAACTCAGCGTTTGTATGGAGAACATCAAGCGCAACCGAAACTGCCCCAAAGAAGTAAGAAAACGTCATAACTGCACCAGCAACACCATGTTCACATTTTTCTTGATGACATGCTAAGCTAAGTGACATATTTCTGTTTGTCTTTTTTTGCTCAGGATCGTGAACATATTGTCCAATGCGAAGGTAAGCCTCATTGTCATTCTTGTTCAATTCCTCCACTATTGTAAAAAAAAAATACTAGCTGCCAGCACAGATTGAACGGAGTGATCACCTGTAGATTGCCGTCGACTGAACAAAGCAAATCGAAAAGCTCCCGGGAAACACACGCAGAAGCGCTTGCTCTGGACCTTTTGAAATGAACGTGAAAAAGATGAGTGAGCAGGCTAAAGGGGAGTGTGCGATTTTTCAAACTCAACGCTATGTTGTGTTCTGACATCAGCTACAGCGATAAAGTAGCTGTGGTTTGTTCATAAACTGAGTCTCAGGTGATCCTGAGAAGATGCTACCATATGCTGACATATCAAAAAAGCAGCACCCGCGATTTCACAATGAGTAGCGAAAATTAGCTTTATTAGCTATTGATCCATTTTCCGTACTGCTAATCTCCACTCGGGTTGCAAGTGTGCCGGAGCCTGTTATTTTGTCATATAAATTGCTCGTTGAGGTGTGCCCTGCGATAGGCTGGCAACCAGGTCAGGGTGTAGCTGTAGCCTGTCTACTGCCCAAAGACGGCTGGGATCGGCTCCATCCTCATAAGCGGTTCGGATGATGGATGGATTGTAACTGACATTACAGCTATTGGAATAAAAGTACATGTTTTTCACAACCACTAGTATCGGTAAACGTCTACACAATGTGGCAA